AAAAAAAAAAAAAAAGCTTGTGAGTGACCATCTTAGCTGCAACTACTGGTCTCTCCCCGTCCGGAGGAAAGAAGAGTGAAGAAAATCAAAGACGTAAGGAAACAATTAATCCAAAGGACTAATGGACCATGTGAACCCCAGCCTCCATAACCCTAAGACCAGAAGAACTAGATGGTGTCTGGCTACCACCTCTGACCACCTAAAGGGGTTCACAGTAAGAAATCCCAGATAGAGAGGGAGAAAAATGTAGAACAAAACTCAAAATCATAAAAAGACAAGGCTTACTGGTCTGACTCAGACTGGTGGAACCCCAGAGACTTCATGGCCAAAGAAAGCTGGAAACTGAACTCAACTCCCATGGTTCAACTTTCCACCAAACAATAGACAGGACTATAAGGTGAATAATAACAGGAGGAAGGTATATGCTCAGTGGAACAATCAACACAGGAGACCAAAATGGCAGCACTTGCCAAAGAATAAAGCTACCAATGCAGGAAGGACAGGAAGAAAGGAAAAAAAGGGTAAATACAGGGAGGAAGTGGGAAGAGTGTTGTTACATTGTGGGGACTACAATGAATATCACTAAACAAAATAGGTATGATCAAATAGGAAACCAATTTGTTCTATAAACTTTTACCCAAACCACAACAAAATAAATAAGTAAATAATAACTAATACTTGGGAGCAGCAGAGTCAAAGTAAATAGAAATGAGAAAATAAAAGCTGAGAGAAAGGCCAATCCTAAAATGGACTGCCAATCTAGTTCAAAACTCCAGTACCCAATGCAAAGAAGAAAATGAATTAAAAAAAACAATTTTCAAAAGTTACAAATATACTGGTTATTCAGAAGATTATAGACAGTTGCACACTCAGCTACTAACCAAAATACTGGCAGTTTAAATCCACCCTATGGCTCCCTGAGAAAAAACCTGGCAATTTAGTCTCATAGAGATTATAGCCTAGAATGCCCAATGGGGCAGTTCTACTCTGTCACATGGAGCCACTATGAGCTGAAATCAACTCAACGGCATACAATAACAACAGAGTTACATACCTTTCTCGTCTATTTAAAAAAAAAAATATAAAAATATATCAACAACAAATATTTATAAATACATGTCTTAATTCTAAATACTGCTGCTGTTGTCATTATATGCTGTCAAGTCAGACCCGACTCATAGTGACCCCTCCTTGGGTTTCTGAGGCAGTATCACTACGGAAGTAGATTGCTCAACCTTCCTTCCAAGGAGTGGCTGGTGGGTTTGAACCGCCAGCCTTCTGGTCAGCAGTCAAGTGCCTTAGGCACTATGCTACCAGAGCTTACTAATATGTTAGGTTTCAAAGATTAATATATAAATTAATTATTTTCCAATTACAATATTACAAAGATTATGTGCCCAGAATTTTTTAAAAATCTGTGGTACTATTCATCCATATTAAGGCTTGTTAACTTAGTCATAATTTACCATGTTGTGCCTATGTGAGCTTTAATTATTGTCTAAGAAGAGATAGCTAACAAAAGCCAAAAGTCCCTGATTCAGAACTGATTCTGATGGTTAACAGACTATTTCACTCTAAACTCTCAATTAATCCAACAGACATTTACTGGAAATATACAATGGGCTAGATACTATGCATTTTCTCTGAGGAAAAGCTCTATAATTCCAATGTGTGAACTGTCCATAAATTAAGAAAGGACCATACTGAGAATGCTTGTTAATAAATGTTTTAAAACTTGTAATATTGATCTCTGACCACGAAAATAATTAGCTTTCGATAAATATATTAAATTTACAATACATAACCTGGCTACCTTATCACTAGAGTTAATCAGATGAATTTATCCTTTCTCTTTAAATTTACATTTAATTTTAAGTTTCATCTTCAGTCAGGTTAAAATGTAGGACATAACTAAGTAACAGTTTGGCTACCAAAACAGATCTTCATTTAAGCAAATTTTCTCTTTGGCAAAATCCTCTTTCTGATTCATTTAGTTAATCCTTACCTAACTCGATCTACAAAAATTACTCACAAGTAATCCTTGTACGTCTTCTACATTTGGGGCACATCATGATTACTATAAAGAAAGATCCTGTACTGTCCTCTTTGTATGGCTGCCCTCTCTCTTTCTCCTAGTTTATTTAAAGTCTCTGCTTCCTCTCCTAGGCCCAAGTCTGGACGTCTTCTTCCTTCAGTGAAGCTCTGCCAGGTACATCCAAGGCCCAATCCACAGTGATCAGTGTCTCTTCCTAAATTTAGAGGTCTATACTAATGGTTTCCAATGAAGGATGTCAGTCAATGCACTAAGGAGCTGAAAGGAAAGCTAATGGAATGTGTGGCTAACTGCCTCCATGAACAACTTCATCTTGTGCCAGGAGACCAGAAGAACTGGATGGTGCCTGGATACCAATACTAAACACTTTGTCACAGATTTCATAGAAGAAGCCTGAGCAAAAGGCGGGAAATGCTGAACAGAATTTCAAATTCTCATGGACTCTAGGTTTTCTGGAGCCATCGAGGGTAGATGAACACCTGAAAACTACTGCTCTGACATAATCTTTAAAGCTTAAATCAAAAATATCCCGAGGTCTTCTTAAAACCAAACAATTTAACCAGTAAAAAAAAAAAAAGCTCTGCCCTGAAAATTATGCTCTTTTAAAAACTATCTACATGGGATTTAATTAACAATAGTAACTCAAAAGGGAAGAACCTTAGAGAGCAGTGAGTTTTAGTTACAAAGGAGGAACAACTCAGAAAAGGAAGGCAAGAATGATTGCACAACTCAAAGAATGTAATCAATCGTACATGCACAAACTGTTGAAGTGGTCTATCTTTTGCTGTGTATATTCTCATCAATAAATAAAATTTAAGGAAAAAAATGAACTGTGAGGAAAAAAAGTCAACTCCCTGGATTCACTTAAAATGTCTAAAGTTACTTTTCACTCACTTTTACTAAGCAAGATCTATACACAGAATACACACGCAGCATCGATACCATCAAACTTAGAAATTTCAGTTTCCTCTATGACCCTAGATCAGAGGTCACCCAAACTATCCCTTGCAAGCCAAATGCAGCTCACTGCTCGTCTCTGTGCGTTCAGTGAGCTAAGAATGGACAAGTGCCAAAAAAACCCCCACCAGAACCTACTAATTAGCGATAAGGGCTGGCCAAAAGGACAACAACAACAGTGAACGCGGAATGGTTACAGCAGACTTCCCACTCACAATTTATAAAACCACAGATCACACAACTTCTCGTCTTGACTACTTACTCTCATCGAGGGTAATTCCAACCTGAGGGGGATCAATAACAATCACCCCGAGTAAAGACTCCAGAAGCTGGGGACTGGGAAACTGGGCTAGGGTCAAAAGGTGTGCAAGCTGCAGTTTCTGCGTAACACCTTAGGAGTGAAGGGTGCGGACCAGGACGGAGAGGCGCGCGGGCAGCCCAGAGGCGGGCGCCGCAAGGGCGCAGGCGGACTCCTCACCTCGGGATTCTGGCGCTGCGGCTCCTCCCCACACTCCGGCCCTGGCGACTCTTGCTCTGCGGGAGCCACGGCCTCGCAGCCAGGATATTTGATCTGAAGATCCCCCATGCCGGTGTCACGTAATAAGACAGCTGCTGGAGACAGACACTTAACGCACGCTCTATCCTTCCAAGCCAGAAAGCCTTGCTTCCCTCCGTTGAAAAATCACCGGGCTCGCGTTCCCGCGGCAGCCGCCACACAAACTCGAACGAATACCTCCCCCTTCCGGGAGCGCATGGCGTCAGTACGCCGCGCAGGCGCAGTGAGCCCACCCGCGCAGAAAGGGGGCGTGTAGTCTGTATAGGGGAAGGGAGGAAGGCAGGAATGTGCGCGGCAGACAAAAGTATTCTCAGAGGTCTCTGCGTACTTAGGTGGAGCAAGTTTCCCGGCAGTGTTGAAGTTACATAAAGATCTAGACTTTTGTCACTAGAGACTACCACCAAGCTAAATGATCTCATTTCCTGAGAAGAAAAACGGGGACTACCATGGAGAAGTAATTTTTAAACATAACATTTATGAAATAGTTTAAGACTTCTGCTCTGGGCGAGAAGAGGAAAAGGATCTGGACTTAGTGTTTATAATGATTATAACAAATGGAAAACTTAACAAAATATATGAAACAATTATTTATAGACTGGACTGTTGTCACTAAGAGAAATAACACGATGAACCCTAGCTTCCTACTGGGAGGTAATTTCTAGACTGTAGCGCACGGACCCACTGCCATTGAGTCAAATCCCATGAATAAGGACCCTGTACGACAGAGTAGAGGAGCTCTGGTGGGGTATTGCCTAAGGCACTTAACTGCTAACCAGAAGGCTGACGGTTCAAACCCACCAGCCACTACTTGGAAGGAAGATGGGGCAATCTACTTCCCTAGTGATACTGCCTCGGAAACCCAAGGAGGGGTAGCTATGAGTCGGGGTCTGACTCATAACAACATACACATAACAACAACAACAAAACATCTATTCAGCTGCTCCAGTAGAGTCTACCATGGAGTTAATTACCAATCTCACCATGGGGAATAAGTACATCCAGCTGTCCAGCCGCTCGAAACCAGGCCGGGCCAAGTTGACAACAACCTTGATTACTACAGATACATACCTAGTAATGGGATTGCTGGATCAAATGGTATTTTGATTTCTAACTTTTTAAGGAATCACCATACTGGTTTCCACAGTAGTTATGTCATTTGACAGTCCCACCAGCAGTGTATTAGAGTCCCCATCTCTCCACATCCTTGCCAACGCTTATTTTTTTCTGTCTTGTTGAACTTTGCTATTAATTTTGGGATGAGATGGTATCTCATTGTAGTTTTGATTTGCATCTCTCTAATGGCTAAAATGGGAGCGCTGGTAGTGTAGTGCCTAAAGCACTTGAATGCTAACCAGAAGGCTGATGGTTCAAATCCACCAGCCACTCCTCAGAAGGAAGATGAGGCAATCTACTTCCGTAGTGATACTGCCTTGGAAACCCAAGGAGGGGTTGCTATGAGTCGGGTCCGACTCGACGGCACATAACAACAACAATGGCTCGAATCTCTAATGGCTAATATTTCTTCATGTGTTTGTTGGCTGCCTGAATATCTTCTTTGGTGAAGTGTCTGTTCGTGTTTTCTGCCCACTTTTTAATTGGATTGTTTTAGACTCACTCTTAAAAAGCTTAGGAGCTCTGGTAGCATAGTGCCTAAGGCACTTGACTGCTAAGCAGAAGGCTGGTGGTTCAAACCCACCAGCCACTCCTCGGAAGGAAGGTTGGGCAATCTACTTCCCTAGTGATATTGCCTCGGAAACCTAAGGAGGGGTCGCTATGAGTCAGGTCCAACTTGATGGCAAATAACAACAACTTAAAAAGCTTACAAGCAAGCCTTGAAAGGGTCAAATCTTTCAGCAAGTAACTTAACTACTTAACACAACACAGTCTAATACTATCGAAAGGAACACAACAAAATCTAGGACTCAAAAAACCAAACTCACTGCCATTGAGTCAAATGCAATTCACAGCAACCCCTCCTTGGGTTTCCAAGGCAGTATCTCTACGGAAGTAGACTGCCCAGTCTTCCTTCTGAGGAGTGGATGGTGGATTTGAACCACTAGCCTTCTGGTTAGCAGTAAAATGCTTTAGGCACTGTGTTACCAGAGCCAATCAAAAATAAAGAGACTTGCCAAAAGGCAAGAAAACATATTATACAGTAAAAAAGACACATACTCTAAAATGATAAGAATGATGAAATTGACAAGGACTTTTTAATATGATGGAAGAGAAACTGAACAGATTATAAAAGCAGATAAGAGCCAAATAGAATTTTTAGAGATGAAAAATACAATCTCTGAGATCAAAATTTTTCTGGATGAAATTGACAGCATTTTAGACACTTTAGAGAAAGTATGAATTAATTTGAAGGCACAGCAGTAGAAACAATCCAAAATGACATGCACATACAAATACTAAAAATAAAAACAGAGCCTCAGTGACCCATGGGACAACATAATGAGCTCTCCAAAAATCAGCCAATGAAAGCCCTATGGATCATAACAATTCAATCCACAACAGATCCTTAGGATGGTACAGGACCGGGCAACATGAGATCCCATGTACATGGATTTGTCATGAGTTGGTGGTCCACTGGATGGTAGCTAACAAGATATATGTAATTGCAACCCCAGGAGAGTTGGGGTGGGGGGAAAGTGTGGACAAAAACATTTTGAAGAGATAATGGACAAAAATGTTCCAAACTTGATGCAAACTAGAAATCACAGATACAAGATCAAAGAAGCCCAAACACTGTAAGTGCAGCAAGGTATATCATGATGGTATTACTATGCAATGGACTGAATTACTTAGTGTGGCTCTGCTAGTCATGGTCTCTTGACACCCACCAAATGACTGGGTGGAACTATGCAAACATGAGGTGCTTGTGGTCTACCAAGGGGATTGAACAACTTGTCAGTAATGTAAATAAAATACATGGCACCCTTGTGGGTGTGGGACCATGGAAATAGGTATATGGAACCCTAATGAGGGGATTGGTTAGTTTTGTAATTACACTAGATTTAAAATGAGTCCTCCCAGAGGCAGAAGGGAGGATCTCACTGTCATAAAGAAAGAAGTGCCAGAGGTAGAGTGGAGTGCATCCTTGGACCTGAGATCCCTGTGCTGGATCTCCTTGGCAGAGAGACTGGCAGTCACAGAGAGACCACCAGACAGATGGTGACTGCTGAACTGAGAGACCAGTAGGAGACAAGAGTGGGTTTGATGGTCCACGAAGCAAGAAAGCTGAGTGCCTCTGGGCAGGGGGCTTGCTGGCACAGTGAGATGCACCTAGATGCACCTATTGGCAGAGCTAAAAGAGCTTTGTAACACCTGCCTGAACAAGCTGAAGGCAAGGCCAAGAAACCAAGGGACAAAGAGAGATGTGTCTTCAGGCATGACTGAGGGGAGACTGTCTTGATGGAAGAATTATATCCTGAGCTTACTCCTGAACTTGAATTGTAACCTGTTACTTATTTACTTAATGGGAGCTCTGGTGCCGTAATGCCTAAGGCATTTGACTGCTAAGCAGAAGCCTGCCTGTTCAAACCCACCAGCAGTAGTGCTGTTGTTGTTGTTGTTGTTGTTGTTTGCCGTCGAGTCGGCCCCGACTCATAGTGACCCCTCCTTGGGTTTCTGAAGCAGTATCACTACGGAAGTAGGATTGCCCAACCTTCCTTCCGAGGAGTGGCTGGTGGGTTTGCCTTGGAAATCCAAGGAGGAGTCGCTATGAGTCAGATCCACCTTGACGGCAGTGAGTTTGAATTGTTTTGGTTTGTTAATAAGGAGTTCTGGTGGTGTAGTGGGAAAGGCATTTGGCTGCTACCCCAAAGGTTGGTGATTCAAACCTATCACCTGCTCCATGGGAGGAAGATGAGGCAATCTACTTCCATAAAGATCTACAGCCTTGGAAACCCAAAAGATGTCACTATGAGTTGGAACTGACTCACTGGCAGTGGGGTATTTACCTAATAAAACCCGTAATTGTGAGTATTGTTTGTGAATTCTTTGTGGCCATTGCAACGAATTATTGATCCCACCAGAGAAGTAGTGAGTGGCGTAGGAGGCATGGTTGGTGTCAGGGTTGGTAAAAAGGTTGCAGGGTGGCGGCATGTCTTGGACTCACAGGAACAAGCCTTAGGCTGCTGATAGTGTTTCTGTCTCCCCCTTGTGAAGTTAGAGGAGGTCAGAGGAGGATGCCACTCCCATACCCTTTTTGCATACTGAAAACCATTTGATAAAGATAAAATCTTTAAAGCAGCCAGAATAAAAAGGCAAATTATGTACATATCCACCACTTGTCTGTCAGTTTGTCATACTGTGGTGGCTTATTTGTTGCCGTGAGGCTGGAGTCTATGCCACTGATATTTCAAATACCAGCAGCATCACCCATGGTGGACAGGTTTCAGTGGAGCTTCCAGACTAAGACAGACTAGGAAGAAGGAAGGGGCCATCCACTTCTCAAAGAATTGGTGAGTGAAAACCTTATGAATAGCAGTGAACACTGTCTGATATATTGCTAGAAACCTTTATGAATAGCCCTGAAACATTTTCTGATATAGTGACAGAAGATGAGCCCCTCACGTTGGAAGGCACTGAAAATATGACTGGGGAAGAACTGCTTCCTTCAGAGTAGAACGGACCTTAATGATGTGGATGGAGTAAAGCTGTTGGAACTTCCATTTGCTGATGTGGCATGACTCAAAATGGGAAGAAACAGCTGCAAACATCCATTAATAATTGGAACATGAAATGTACAAAGTATGAATATAGGAAAATTGGAAGTTGTCAAAAATGAAACGGAACAAATAAAGATCAATATCCTAGGCTTTAGTGAGCTGAAATGGACTGGTTTTGGCCACTTTCAATCAGACAAACATATGATCTACCATGACAGGAATGGCAAATTGAAGAAGAATGGCATGGCATTCATTGTTACAAAGAATGTTTCAAGATCTATCCTGACATACAATGCTGTCAGTGATAGAATAATATCCATATACCTACGAGGAAGACCAGAGTTAATACTACTATTA